CAAGAGGGAGTAGCATGGAGTAATGGAATGCTGCTACTGACTTTAGCAGAGGTGTTAGATAGCACAGACCTAGTTTAAAATCTGTAATTAAATTCATTTGTTGGTATTCCTGTGGCAATTTGAGTTGCCACGATCAAAACAGAAAGAGACTGTGGCATGTGAGTGTGAAGAATCAACTCTGATATGGGTCTCATTTTTATGAATAATGGTTTGTTCCTACTCATTATTTTTGGTTTCGGTTTCATTAGAGGAGTTCATCCCTGGCTTTCTGTTGATGCCAAGCTGCTTTCCAGGTCTATTAAATCTGCTCAGAATCCTTCATCATGCATTTCTTCCTTGACCACTTCCAGGAGAAGGGGAAAAACACTGCTGAGAGCCAAAATCAAAAGGGTTTGTGGATTGCTTGCGAGTGTAATCCCATTTTGAAAGCAAGGGTTCTGGAAAATTGCAGATGGCTGGAGAACGATCTCAAACTGACACACGGATGTAAATTTCATTTGCAGATTGTTTCTGCTGATTTTGTTCTGGTTCATATTTTGTCCACAAGTTCTCACCATCATTTGTTACCATTATAGTGAGAATTAATACTTTTTTCTGACTTTACAGAAAATTGCTGGGTTTGTTTTTTTTCCTTTTACCAGAAGGTAAATGTGAGGCAATAAATTTATGGCTCTGAAAAGTGTTTATGTGTAGAAGAGGAAAAGGAGGGAGCTTAGGGCATTCTTTTGAAGGTGAATTTAGTGAGGTGAAGATTGATCAGCCTTGGCAACTCTGGAAATGGATTGCTCCTATCTTGCATTAGGAGTACACACAACAAGAATGTAAATGTCACAATCTTCCTTATTTTTTTGAGGGACCACCTGCAGAGCTGTGATGTTTGTCCAGTTTCCATGCTTTTTTGGTCTTTGGCCTGTCTGAGGCTGCCAACAAATGTGTTAATGGCTGTGGTTTTGGTAATGTGGACACCTGTCCAGGACAAAATGAACTGTGATTAGTAATTAATGTCAAATTTGTTGAAGATGTAACTTCCTCCTTTTCCTCCTTTCTGTCAACAATTTATTTTTCCTTTCCATGGACTGTGCAACCTTGTTGACTTCATTGGGGTTTTCTGGATATAACCAAGATGGGTTAATAAATAATAAAATACCCTCAGGCCAGATGTAGTTTTAATTTAGCTTTTTAAAGTGCCCTCAGAAGATAATCAGGGAAATTCTAAGAAGTTTTTGCTTCCTTGGCACTTCTCTGATTGATCCTTTCTATGCAGCTTTTCACCAAAAGGAATTGTAACATACAGGTCCATGAAAATGATTCTTGCCCTGTCATAAACAGTGCTCTGCTTCCTTTAGTGGAACTTAGAGATTCCTAAGGAGAAAAACAAAATGCTAGAGTGATGATACCAACAACCTTCTAAAAATGTAGATAATTTAATAAGTGAGAGAGTATCTTGCAAGATTCCAGAAATGCAATTCTTTTCCTTTGCAGATTGTTCTTACAATTTGATTTGACTATTATACTTGAATAAATATTTCTATTTAGACTGTAGACAGGATACAAAATTAAAATTACTTATAGATGCTCTTGATAATACATACACTAAAAAATGAAACTTGGGTAGTTAATTTGCTGTGTATTTTCTTGTGCTTCTCCCTCAAAAATGGCTGTAAGCTTTCTTAGTTTTGTACTAACCCTTGGTTTATTCAGGCTGAAAGTGCCATGCAAAAAAGAGAAGACTGTGCATATTTTCTTAGTTCTCATTCCAGGCAAAACAAGGAGGCAGAAGTGAACACAGCAATGTTAACCTAACTTTGTTAAAAATCAAAATTAACATGAATTTTTGTGTATTAGTGTAGAGTTTTTTCTTATATTTTTTTTCAGCTTTGAAATATTTTGGCCTCTCTTGAGCCATAGAATGTCAGTTTTAAAATCAAGTTGGTATTGTCATTCAGTGAAAGTTGTGATTTAAGTGTGTTTTGCTTGTTGGGGGTGCTTTAGAATCCCCCAGGTGCAGATTGAGAGCACGTTCAAGTTAAAATGCAAACATTTTCCAAAGCTGTAACTCATGCAGTAGGTGTTTGGTGACTCTGAATTACTGGGTACAGTTTGGGTTGGAACAAATCCTAGAAGCTGTGCTTGTGTTATGCTACCACACTGCAACAGAGAGGAAAACAAGGAAGGGGGGAACAAAGATCTCAGTGAATCTGCCCACATTTTGATCTTCAGTAATCTGCTTTCTTTAGAAGTATTTCAAAGTACACCCATCCTTGGTCATGCACGAGTGCTTCACAATGCAGTGCTGAAGAGGGGAGAGCAGTATTAAAATATTGATAATTAATTTATTTACATGTTGGATATACAGCTCACCTCTGTCACCAATCCTTATGGGTGATTTTATCTTCCCAGATGTCAACTGGGAATATCACACAGAGGACTCAAACAGGTCCAGGAGATTTCTGAGCATGTTGAAGAGAACTTCCTGGCACAGGTGGTCAACTAGGAAAGGTGTCCTCCTAGATTTGTTGTTTATGAGGGACCTGTGGGCAAAGTGATGGCTGGTGGTTGTGTCTTGGTCATGGTGACCTTGAAGGAGCCCAGTTTCAAAAGCTGGCGATAGAAGAGACTCTGTCAGCAAAATTTGGATCCTGGATGTATGGAGAGCAGTAGAGGCTGGTTAGTAAAGTCTCTTGGGAACCTGCTCTTGGAGGTACTGGGGACTCTGAGTGCTGGTCCCCTTCTCAAGGCCATCTCCTAAGAGCACAGGAACAGGCAATTCCAACAGGGTTGGAAGCCAAGCAAAGCTGGCCAGAAGACCATCTTGGCTGAGTGGGGATCTTCTAGGGGGGCTGGGTGACATTGGAAGATATTCTGTCCCCAAGGTAGGGGGAAAATTAGTGCAGCCAAAGCTCAGCTGGAGTCCAAGCAGGCCAGCACTGGGAAAGACATTAAAAGGGGCTTTTACAAATATGTTCATAGCAAAAGGGGAATCAGAAATAGCATTGGGCCATGGCTTCACCAGATTGGTCACCCCAAAATAGCCACATAGACAAAGCAGACATATAATGTCCTCTTCACTTCTGCCTTCAACGATGATGGGCCCTGGGAAGTCTGGAGTTCTGTTGGAAAACCATGACTGTTGGGGGATGATAAAATCTCAGTCCACCCTGAGTTTGTTTGAGGCTTGCTGCTACAGCTGGATGTGCATAAATCATGGGGCTTGGTGGGATTCATCCCAGGATACTGAAAGGCCTGGCAGATGTCATTGTGGGACCTCACTCAATTTTTTTTTTTCAGTGGTTTTGAGAGTCTGGAGAGGTCCTAGTAAACTGAAAGCTAGCAAATATTGTCCCTGTTTTCAAGGGCAAGAAGGAAGTGCCTGGTGATTTCAGACCTGTCAGTCTCATTGCAGTGCCTGGTAAAATTATGGAGAAAGTTGTCTTGGGAGTTATTGAAAAACACTCAAGAGACAACACAGTCATTGGTTACAGCCAGCACAAGTTCATGGGGGAAAGTCCTGCTTGAACAACTCAAATCTTTCCATAGTCGACTAAGGAGAGTCAGAAAATGTGGGTTTGTTTGTTTTTTTTTTTTTTTTTTTTTTTTTTTTTTTTTTTTTTTGTTGTTGTTGTTTTTTTTTTTTTTTTTTATTTCAGCAAAACTTTTGCTCCTGACACTGAATCCTTGTGGATAAATGCTCAGGCACACAGCAGTTGCAGCAAGCAGGGTCACACCAACCTGGCACTCAGTCACTGGGGGGGACCCCAGGGCTCAACTTTGCAGCCAGTATACTCTCCAGTATGTTTTTTAAGTGGTCAAGACTCAGAAATCAAATGCACATTAAGTTAGTTTGACAGCTGTACTGGATTGGGGAAGAGCTGTGAGCTCCTCCAGGGTACAGAGGCCTCACAGAAAGATCTGGATAGACCAGAGAGCTGGGCAATCACCAACTGTATGGAAATGCACAAAAGCAAGAGCTTTACTGTCCCCCTGAGATGAGCCTGTCTGGTTATACCTACAAGCTGTGGGACAAGAGGCTGGAGAGCAGCCCTGCCCAGAGAGATCTGGGGGTTTTGATGCAAGTTCAATGTCGGTCACTGTAGAGAGCTTTTTGGATAATTGGTTAGCTGAGAAAGGACATTTCGATGTGATACCAATGGATAAGGATAGGGGAAACAAGCTGGGAACTGAGCAACCAGTGCCCAATTACTGACGAAGGTCACAGTGACCTTCCCTGAAACGGGAAGACGGGGGAGAAAATCGCTTGCCAGAAAATGTAGTTATCTTAGGTAGAAAAGTTAGAAGAATGCAAACATAGAAGCAAAATAATTGTTAGAAGATAGAAGTAGGTGTGGTTGATCTAAGTGTGCTTTAACCAATAATGAGCTCAGCTTTTGCAATATGTATAAGCTTCATTAACACCAATATAAATATGTGTGGGGTTTCAATAAACTTCGGGATTTGCTATTCATCGCATATGGTGTGTCGCATTTCTCCCGCTGTATCACGACAGGTCACCAGTGTGCCCTGGCAGCCAGAGGGGTCACCTGTGTCCTGGGGTGCACAGGGATGGAGGGAGGGGATTGCCCCCCCCTGCTCTGCACTGGTGCAGCCCCACCTGGAGTCCTGGGGGCAGTTTTGGTGTCTCAATAGAAGAAGGACATCAGAACATGAGAGCGTGTCCAGAGGAGGGCGACCCAGGTGGGGAAGGAAGTGTCAAAACAAAAGAAGAATAATGTTGTGGTTTTCCCTATGATATACTGATGGAATGGAGCTTAAACCATCTGTTTATTCATGCAAATCACATTCAGGAACTGATTATCTCTCCCTTTTATTTACTGCCTGGCATATGCATGCAAAAAGTCAACAGATCAGGCTAAATCATTTTTATTGCATCATCTATCTCAACAAGCTCATTTGTATTAGTCCTGTGAATAAATTAGATGTGCAAGCTGTACTTATAATGAAAAAACTCAACTCTGATGTCTTCCCCCTTTTCACTGTGTTAGGAAATAGTTCTGGTGGTGTTTTTTGGTGCTGAGTACCTGGTCCGGCTCTGGTCTGCAGGCTGCAGGAGTAAATATGTTGGCTTCCAGGGGAGGATCCGGTTTGCCAGGAAGCCAATATCCATCATTGGTAAGTTTTCAACTCTTTTGCAACCCTCCTGCTTGTTGTAAATAAAAATGTCCATTTCTGCAGGGGCCTTGTTGCAGTTCTGAGCTACGTCTATCCCTCAAGCATTTATCTGCTTTGTAATTTCTCTCCTTTTGGGTTGCTAGAACACTTAAAATATATCTAAGGCAGACATCAACCTTAGAAAGGCAGGACTGTAAAGTGAAAAAAATGACTAAACCTTGGGTAATTGCAGGAAACTGACAAGGTTTTGAACACAAAATCCTTGCTTGAGTACAAACAAATTCTTCATCTTCTTCTGGAGCTGGTCTGTTTTTGTGATGTAACCATGAGGCCCGTAAGGAATTGTTTTTACTCCTAATGTGTTCTTGATTTTCCTCTCAATTAATAAGTGTTTCTTAGGTTGGTATATTAGAGAAAGTGATAGTTTCACTGAACTGTGATTTCAAGGGGTTCTCTCTGCTGGTATTTTGGTACTATCACAGCAAATATTCATGTTTGCATTGGAGCCCCTGGGGAAGACATGGTGGGTTTTGTTAAGAAAAGCTAAGAATGGCTATAGCTGGTTGTGCACTCAGTGTCAGTACTTCATTTAACCTTTGAAATTCCCCTAAGGATAGAATAGATTGGAAATCAAGATTTGCTTTTCCACATCAAATGCAGCTGGAATAATGTCTGCACTGACAGGACAAGATAAACTTGGGAAATACCTTTGCTGGGAATGATAGAATCCTACTGACTCAGCCTATTACTTTCAAATCAATGAATAAAATACAAACACTGGAAAAAAAATTCAAGGATTAGAACAGAATGTAAAACATCTGTTTTATTTCTTCATTAATATGAAAGTCTTTATTTTAAATTTAGAAAAAAAAATCCACTAAAATTTCTTTGACAGCAGGGAGATTTCTTTTATGGGATTTTGTTCCTGCTAAAATTTGGATTTGTTCTTAGCAAGTTCAACATGGAAAATCCCAGGATGAGGCAGAAGGAATGTTCTGGGACACACAGGCTCAGTAAAAAGATGGGAGGTGGATTATGATGCAAAGGTATGGGAGAGGAACATTTAAAGAGATTGACAAGCAACCAGGAACTTGAAGGGAAATCAGCAGGGGCTGGAAATATGTGGTATTGAAAAGTGTCAGAGAAAGGGCAGGATATGCTGAAGGTCTAGGCTGTAAAATAAGGCTGTTTGGACCAGTAAATTAGGATTAATAAGGGAAATCTAAGCACTGGAAACTGGAATGAAAACTAGAAACAGAGGAGAAGCAGAAATAGAAGAACATGTTTGGAGAAAAAGAAAGAAAAAGAAATATCTCTAGCAGGAAGAACACTTTCAGAAAAGAAGAAAGTGCAAATGAAAAATTCTCTTTTACTCTCACTACTTGGTTGAACTCCTTTTCTAAACATCAGTCTTTTTCACCTTTCACTCCATCTCTGTCTTCAGATGGAGATGTGTATGTCTGACAATTTAGTAAAGACATGATGCATCATTTGCTAAAGGGCAAAGGTCTGTGTTATGATGTGATGGGAAGAAGACCCACCCTAAATTCCAGTGTTTACAAACGTGCGTTCACACACATACATGATAAAGGAACAGCATAAAAGAGTTTGCAGTCAGGCATTGAAAAGCTAAGATTAATCCCAAATGGAAGCTCTTTCTGAAGCCTCATCCCTCTCTTTATTCATTTTCATTTTCATTTTCATTTTCATTTTCATTTTCATTTTCATTTTCATTTTCACTTTCATACATGCACAATTAGTGGAGTACAGTATTTAAACTGACTGTGTGCTTTCCCTTGAGGAGGAATCCAGGTTTTACAGCAAAAATCAGACTGGAAATTAATTCCACTCAGAGAGTTGGTTATAGAACTTCTGCAGTATTTGTTGCAGCAACTACATGGTTGTAAATGAGGCAGGAGAATGTTTAAAAGGAGAGGGGAAAAAAAGTTAACCTTGCTGAAGGAAACTGTTGTTGCTGCTCAGGTTGGGTCCCATCCTGCCTCTTTCCCAGGCATCCCATGGAAAGTTGGTTAAAATCAGTTTTCACAAGTGGGCCTCATTTTCTGGATGTCCAAAGGAAGACTTTGAAGTTGGGTTGCAGAGATTCTGAGCCCTCACAGCTGCAAGTGAAGTCAGCAGGGCTGGAGTTTTGAAGTGCTCTATAATGTTAAGTGCTCTGAAGAATAAAGTGCTGCCTGTTTCAAACTGGCAAAGGAAGGTTTACCAACATTTTTCCTTGTTCTGCCTCCATTTTCTACCTGTTTATAACACTGTCCTTTAGTTTTCGGTTAGAATTTGAAAGGAGAGCATTTAGATGCTCTAAAGAGGTTCACCACAGAAATGCCTGTAAGGAAATTAAAAAAGAAATCTTCTCAGAATAATGTTACAGCAAGGTTCAATAATTAAAAGAAATGGACATGCTCACTGAACTGGGATGAGGGAAAATAAGGGATGTTGTCTCAATTGTAAACTCAGTCTATCATTTGCTTTGTATAAAGCTGGAACTGTGTAAACTGCAGAGTTGTGGGAACAAAACAAAACAAAAAAAGAACTCTGGAAACAATTATTTTTTCATACAAATAAAGACAGTATCACAAAGTAAACTAACAATTTTGATTTGTTTTAGCCAGCCTTTCTTCTGACAGTTCCATTAGGTTTGAAAGCTTGGCTTCACAGCTTTGATACAGCTTTCAAACCAAGTGTATGTGTGTATGTATGCATGATACTTCATGGATTTCATTATTGTGTGGTGAAAACCCTTGCATTTCCTCTTGGATCAGAAGCCTTGAGCCAAAATATGGGTTCATTTCTAGGGTGCACAAATGCCTTTGCATTTTCTGTGGCAAGCAGCCTAATCCATCAGGTTCTTTGAAAGGTCTGTTACCGAATTCATCCTGGAAGAAACTGCAGCCACTGGGGTTTTGATGTGAAACTATCACATAGACTTAACATGCCCACCAAATTTCAGCTAACAATTTCTTTTTTTGAAGTGCTTTTCTTAGTCTGTATTTGTCGTGTTTTTTTCAGTGCTGAGACCAAAAAAAAACCCAAAAAAACAAAGAAAAAAAAAACAACAAAGAAAAAACCAAACCAAAAAACCAAAATAATGCATTCTTTCTTCTTTTGTTTGTTTGTTTGTTTGTTTTTTAACAGACCTGATTGTGGTAGTAGCCTCAATTATTGTTCTGAGCATAGGATCTAATGGGCAGGTGTTTGCCACCTCTGCAATAAGGTAGGTTCTGCTGTCACTGCAGCTCTTCACTACCACAGAGGTTGTTAGGTGTGTATCTGATTTGCCTAATTCCCAATTTAACTGCATGTCTGATTTTCCTAACACAGGGAAAGTTACTCCATTGAAGCACTGGGGGACTGGGTGCTGTTGTGCTTGGTGACTGGTTGGGAAACGAGTGCAGGAACAAGGCAAATGAAAAATGGTGGGAATGCTGAAGCCAAGTGGAAAAAATGAAACATTGTGTCCTATTTAAAACATCAAACAACTGTCTCTCTGAGACAGTTACAGAGAATTACAGATCATGGGTTTATTTAAGAAGTAATCCAGACAGTGCTTAACTGGGTGCTTTTTGAGTATGAGTAATTACTTTGTTTAAAGAGTAATTATGCTTTGGTGGATTTGTTTGGCATGAGTAACTCACACTGTACATGGAGCAGAAACATTTGATGTACACAGTGTTTGTTCAGCTTGCATCAAGTACTGCAGGCTTGTTTTGGGAGGTGAAGTGAGTAAACAGAATGATAAGCAGTAGGTGTACTTCCTACTCCTAACCTGACTTCCAAGATGTGCTGCGTATTTTGTCACAAACCTCTGCTTCCCAGTGCAGTGGAATAACTGGGAAGTGGGAATGTCCAGTACTGTCTAAACTGTCCAGATGTGTATGCAAACACTGGGGAGAACTATGTGTACAGAATGGTTTTTAAGGTAATTCTTACCTTAGAACATTCATCCTTACCTGATGGTAAAGATTCCGCCCAGGCAGCAGGAATATCAGCTCCTATAGGAAAAGAGGAAAGTGCATGAGGAAATTCCAAGGGTTGGGGTTTTAAAATTTAACTAGAAGCATAGGAAGGACTCAGTGAAGCCTTTCCCAGTGCTGAGTCCAGAGTCACTGTCCTACACCTCAGAATGCTCTCTGAACCTTAACTCACATCCCTGCAGTGTTATCATTGCTCCACTGAAAAGCCAGCAGGGTCAGGCAAGTATGAATTAAAAATAAAAACCTACATCCACAAAAAAAATCTTGAAGATCACTAAAAAGAGCCAAAAATACTTTTAGTGAATAATTTTCAGGTACATGAATTCAGTGTTCATCCTTTCCTGCTTTCCACTGGTTTGTTTCAGTGATAAGACAGTAAGATGACAAACAAAATTCATTGTCAAAAGAGCAACTAAATGAAATATTTCCATGGAATAAAATTGTGCTAAAGAACCATATTGATAATTACTTTTATTTAGTTGAAAATATTTGGAGATTATGATTGATATAGTTATTCTCCTAAAACACATAGGACTCTATCTATTTCCATTGATATCAGAGATATTTCAGTAACTCACACAACAAGGATTTCAGTAATGCCGTGTTTGATTCATATTCTGCTTTTGGCAAATAGAGAAAAAGGTTTGCTCACATTTATGTTAGCAAAGCTTGAAGTTTTCCTTGGAAAGGAGGTATTTAAAGTTTGGAATCATAGAAATTATATCAGGTTTTCCCTGATTTGGTTTGTTTTCCCATTAAATAATTGTTTTCATTGTCAATATTTCTGAAGAAATTTGACTATAATGAAATGTGATCTAAACACAGAGATGCCTCAAGCCTGAGATGCCACCCCAGGGAGGGGCAGTGCTATCACAGTTCTTGAACACAGCAGTGTGTTAGTGGACATAACCAGTTGTGGGTGGATAAGGCAGTATTGTCCTCAAGCATTTTTATGTGCTTATGGCATTTATTTTAAAGCTTCACTTTCCTTACAGGGGGATTCGCTTTCTCCAGATCCTTCGGATGCTTCACGTTGACCGCCAGGGAGGCACCTGGAGACTCCTGGGGTCAGTGGTCTTCATCCATCGACAGGTACCCAGCCTTTAAACATCTCCTAAAATTCATTGTCTTCAGTGAATTCTCTCTGTGGGCTTCCAATAATGGTCTGGTGTCCACTAAGGAAGGCGGGAGCCTCTCTTGAAATGGAAAATGTAAACCCCATCCCTTCTGAATTATTGTAATTTTGAAATTAAGGGGCTCTCAGGCAAAGATATGGGAATGGGAATAACAGTTCTTTATTAGGACAATTAAAATACAAATGCAATAGTGCAAACAACAAAAAAAAAAACACTGACAGAGTCAGAAATACAACCTGACACCCAATGGGTCAGGGTGTTGGTAGCAGTCCCATTCAATGGTGTCTGCAGCCCTACTGCAGTGCCAGCTGTGGTTCTGTTGGAGCAGGGATCCTGTAGAAGGGTGGAGTTTTCCTCTGAAGGTCCTGTGGTGGTGTAGATGGGCCTGGTCTTCTGCTCCTCTTGGAACCAGTGGGAAAAAGGCTCCTGTCATGTTCCAAATGTCAGACTATATCCAGGTAAGAATTTTTGGCTCCTCCCCCTGGGTGGAGCATCCCACACCAGGATGATGTAATTTTATCAGTCATGCAGTGACACTCAATAGCCCAGAACAGAAGATATTTCCTAGAGGGAGGATCAGTTCCTGAAGAGATAAAGAAAACTGCCCAATTAACAGAAGATAACTTCCCCACCTCTAACAGATGGCAAATAGAATACACACATATCTTACAACCCAGGACAGCTGGTTTAAATGAAATGTTACATTGCAAGAGAAAAAATACTTTGAAAGCCCATCGTATGTTTCTTCCTCCTTTTAAAATGGGAAACTATTTTTCCTATTCAGGGCAGTGGCTAACAGGGTATAAACACCAGTGTTTGGGTTTATTAATTAACTATTGTACTCTTTGATGTTATTCCTCAATATAATTTCTTAAATGCAGTTTTGTGGGCTGCCTTTCATATTGCAAGTACTCTCCACTTTCTCTGCAGAAGATGAATTCCTAGCTTGGTTTTCTGGGGGAAAACCAAACACTAATAGGAAAGCCTTGCTAGAAGAAGTCAATTATTTAACTATTTCTGTTGTGTTTACCTTGAATACAAAGTTTTCTAATTCATTCTGTAAATTTAAAAGAATGAACTATGTTATGATGCTGTGTAAGAAAAGTTATTTTTCAACGTTGTGGTCACAGAGGCAAACCTGGCTGTTAATAGATGCATGTCTGCTAAAGCTTTGAAACAATTTTTCTGTATGAAAGCTCATTAAGCAGGACGAGTTTAAAAATTTTTCTGCAGATTTAAAAATATTTCTAATTGAAGGCTTCTTTTTGAGTCTTCATGGAATCTCTTGATGATTAGCTTTATCATATAATGGAAAATTATATAATTAGCCTTGAAGTCTTGCATCTCATGCCACTCTGTGGAGGGCTAACACTCTGCTATTAATCTCCACATCCCACTTGTTAGGGTGGTTAACTTGTTTTTATGAGTGTAGATTTGTTCTCCACATACTGACAAACAGTTACAAATTTCCATGCAGACTTTTTTTAATTTTTTATTTGGAAAACTGTTTTTCTGGGACAGAGAATGTGCTGCACTTAATCCAAAAAATAATTTAATACTAAAAGTAAATTTTCTTTCTTTTATTTTTTTCCCCCAGTACAGTAGGAACTTTTATGTCATGATGGCTGTGCAGAAGTGATGCACACCAAAGTGCTGTGGGATAAAGCCTCCTTTTATGCTGTACAACAGGATGACTTTTAATGCTCCAAGTCTGTGTGGTCTCTATTTATTATGCTTGCATTGCCTGGGTATCTTGCTAGGGCAGAGCTGATATCCAAATAACTTGATATCCAAAAAAATGTTTGGGAACATTTTTTTCCTGTGGGTGTTCAGAGTTTTAGTCAAGAATCAGGAAGTACTCTCTCCAAAATACAACACTTAAATCTTATGTGTCACAAGCATAAGAAAGTTCAATGGTTTAAAAGGGGAAAAAAAAAAAATTCTTGGAAAATAAATTTATGAGTAAACGCACCTGAAGTTCTGCTTATCCAAAGAAGTGATTATGGTGATAAATAAAACTCCACAGATCTGTAGGACTTATCCAAGCAGATCACCCACTAACACATTAAGAAAAAAAAATACCAAGCACACAGTTCTGTATTGACATTGGACAAGTGTAGCTGAAACCCTAACACGGTACCAAACGGAAGGAAAAATGGAACCTTTATTCCTGTCCAGCCTCTGAAAGAAATTTTTGTTTAAAAATAAAAAAAAAACAAAAAAACCAAGACCAAAACAAAAACACCTCAGCTGCTTTTTCTTCACAGGCGGAGTACAAAGTCCTCATCTATTTTTGGTTTTTTTTGCATTTGATACTCTTTCAGAAACATGGGCCCCTAAACCCTTAGGCAATGTGAGAAAATGAATCCACATCTCGGTGCCCTGTGAAAATAGCAAGCACTTGTACCTCCCTGGGCCCTGAAGAGCTTAGTAAAGTTGTCACCAACCATTTCCATGTGTTTTGGAATTTTACATATAGCTCAATTAGCTCACTCAGGCCTGGTTTGGCTAGGATGCTCTTCTATTTTCAGCAGGTTGAGCTTATATACCAGCATTTCTTGCCAAAGGCAACAAAACGTGGGTCAATATCACGTGTGGTGGTGGAAAGCCATGGAGAAACCCTGCAGCTTGCTGAAAAGCCAAGTTAGCCACTCAACCTCCAGCTTGTGAGCCTCTAGGTTGGTTTTACTCCTTCCTCACCTTGCTTTGTGAGGTCTTCCACTGCTCTTAGGACAGGAGGGATTCTCATATTTTTTCCAAGTGTTGAACTTTGTATTGTGTGGTCCTTATTTTAACTGAAAATGGAGATATAGCTGAGTTTAAAAAATGTGCAGACTCAACTCTCTCAGTATTCAAATCTACCTTTGTGTGTTTCTTGTTCTTACTGTTTCCTGTGTGTGTGAATCTGAAAGTCCCTGCTGCAAAGAGCCATTTGCTTTAGGCAGCACTCTTTATTCTTAAGCTCTTAGCTAATAAAACCCACATAAATATGTAGTTTTAAGGCCTAATGCCTGCAGAATACCCTTTCTTTTGGGATCATGTCTCATGAAGCATTACTTAAAAAGCTTCTGACTCTCCCTTAAATGAAGTATGCATGATATTGCTGCCATTGTTCTTAATAATTAAAGAGTCTCTCTATACATGTGGAACATGTGACATTTAGAGTAAGTCCAAGGCAGTTGCATTTTCATCTGGCCTTCATTTAAAACGAATCTGTCTTCAGATGAATAGTACTGGAGCTGAGAGGTGCCAGTGGTGAAATAAACTCAGTAGTTCTGTTGATATTTCAGCCACTTTGAAAGGATTTCATAAGACTCTGCTGTTTTCCTGCCTGCTTCCCAAAAAGCCAGCACTTAAACCAGAATTATTCCAATTATCATCTACAGTCAATTGTGTATGTTAACAGAAGGAGCTTTAAAAAGCAAGTAATATCTACAAGTACACAGTGCTCCATTATCAGGAGATAAAGGTGAGAAAATAAAGGTGACCAGCAGAGAAACTACTGAAACCCCAGGGTTTATTTCATTTTTCAGCTGCCTTGTTTAGCAAACAGGCCTGCAAAAAGTCAAGGCTTAAATTAAAAGACTTGGCCATGAGCAAGATGAAACACTATCAAAATTCATTATTTAGGTTATCATTATATGATTAGAGGAAAAGCAACCTTTTTTTTTTTTTTTTTTTTTTTTGTGCCAAGACTACTTAAAGGTTTTCTGAACCCAGATTTTAATTAGTGCTGTAGGAGAAGGAAGAATATTTTTATTTCCTGCTACTGAATGTTGGTACTTGATACGAAGGCTACCTTTGCCCAGAAAGTTCTTACAAGGAAATGAAAACAAAGAAAGAAAAAAGAAAATCTGAGGGAAATTTGATGATAAAATGGAACCTTCCCTTACTAACAGTTTAAGAAACATGGGTAGAATATTACAGAAAACCTGTGAAAACCTGACATACTTTAAAAGTAGGGGCAATCCTTCCTAGTCAGGTTTTAATTTTAAATGTATGATATAGCAGTATTTTAATTCCCTTATTGGCTGAGACCCAAGAAGAGAGAAATGACTGTCAAGAACTTAAGATGCCACTGAAGATGTAGCACAACATTGTTTCCTGATAAAGATGGCCAAATTTGTGCAAAGAGAATAAAGGAATGATGCATGTAAGCTTTATGTAATTAGAAAGAGCTGTTTTCCCTTATAACTAGGTATTGGATTTCCCTGAGGGACAGGTGGATATGTCATTTTAAAAGCTTTATGTGGTTTTGCATCTGTGACACCACATATTTTGGCTTGTTTAAGTGCACAAGCACTTTATTTTTTTTTCCTGAAGATTGTGAGAATCCTGTATCTAAGTCACAGCAGGTCTGACACAATTTTCCTGCCCAAAAGTCTTTAGAGAAAATGGTATATTCACAAGTACTGTGATATGCCCTCACAGAAGTCTGCCCTAGCCTTGTTCTTCATGAAAACATGACATTTACCTAGCATATTTTATCTTCAGATTTTATTTTAACATGAAAGTGTTGAGCATCACTATCCAGTCTTCAGCAGTGTAAACATCAGATACCTGGGTTCACTGCTCAGGTATGGCCATAATCACAAGACATGGCTGCTCTTTCTCTGTGTGCTCTTCAGAAAGGGCATTTCTAAAGCTGCTTTGCTACTTTGAAAATGTTTAGACAGTTAGTATTCTGAGTAGACAGTTAAATTGAATAATTCCCATTCCATAATTAGGAGAGACGTACCACTCTACATTTAGCTGCCTCAAGGATCAAGCCCATAATGATGGATTTTTGAACTATTTAGCCTGGTATGAATATAATCCAAGTCAATGTTTTAGCTGTTTTCCTGGAGGAAAATGTCAAAACCTGAAGTATAACATATCAGTTTTTCTATTGTGATGCAAAAACCCCACAGATACTTGTAACATTTTACAATGACAGAGTATTTATATACACACACAGAGATATATATATGTACATAGGATGAAAACCTCATATACTTCTTTGTTTTCTCTTTTCATAGGAACTTATAACCACGCTGTACATTGGATTCTTGGGATTAATTTTTTCATCCTACTTTGTTTATCTTGCTGAGAAGGATGCAGTTGATGAGGATGGAAAGACAGGTTTCTCCAGCTATGCTGATGCCCTTTGGTGGGGTGTGGTAAGTCCTCACCAACAAAATGTGTGTGCAAACAGGGCCCAAGGATTTCTGTTCAATTTGTGATCTCTTCAGAAAAACCTGGCTTTTTTTTTTTTTTACAGAATGTATTTCTGTAGGGAAGCTTTACAACCTCCTCAGAGGGATACAAGCAAGAATATAAGAAATACAATTAAATTTTTGGAGTATTAAATTTTATTGGGAAAACAGTTTAGCAAGTTCTTAGCAGAGGACACCAAATTCTTACAGATATGAAAAATAAAAAACATCTCAAAAAGCAAACACATCTCAAAAAAAGTAAACAATCTCCTTCAAACCCTGTATCACTTCCTTTAAGCTCTACTTAGTTATCTCAAAAGGTGCATAATTTGAAAACCTATTCTATATATGAAAGTTGGGTTAATGACCCTATTTCTTTTTTATCATTTTGTGTAAAACTCACTCTCTCAGTAATAATTCAGACCTTGATGCAGGTTATAGGTTCCTGTTTTTTTGGTTTTTATCTTTAACTTATATGGGGGGATAGACTATAAGAGAATAGACATAGTGCAGGAGGCAATCTCAGCCCTGAGGAGTTGCAGCTGTACTGATCACCAAAGATTAGGAACAGGCCTGCCCTTAATGGGCCACAGCTGTGGCCAATAAGGATGAGTGCTATAAAAGAGTGGGTTAGTGAGTAGAGAAGAGAGCTGGAGTTTGTTGGCTGTGCTGTGAAGAAGAAGGAGTCAGTGCTGCGAGGAAATACCCATGAGAAATCACCAAGAAGGTATGGAACTTTTGCAGTAAGATGGCAACAAACTTAAATGCTGCATGAGTCTCTACTTTAATGAAGTACACAGAATTATAGACTATATTGCATGTAGCCTGAGTCACCACTCTGTAAGTGGTTCACTACAAAAAACATTTTAAACATTAAATTTCCCATCGCTAGGTTATCAAGTATTCATTTAATCTGCAGAGTATCACCTATGACTGTGCTAAACAGTACATACCCAGAAAAATCAAGAGAAAAAAGAAAAATCTACTCAATGGCAGATGGTGCTGGGAAGCACTGAAGGCATAAACCAGCCCATAGAGCTATCACTTGTTAAAGTCCTCAGTGGACATGGGATAAAATTTTAAGAACATGAAATCTCATGGTTATAGCTGTGAAGGAACTTGTGGAGGAAAATAATGAGTGTCTCAGAAGTAGAGATTATGCTGCATTTTAAAAGAAAAAACAGTCAGGGTATAATTGAATGATACCCTGTGCTAGCTTTGAGACCAAACCAGTACTCTTATTCTCACTTATTCTTCCATTATTTGAGCAGTTCACCTCAAACACCAGTGGATCACTTTTAGCATCCAGTTCTATCCATGTATGTTCATGCACAGTAATTTCTGCATGTGATAAAAATTCTGGGTGGACCCAGAGTACTCTTCCTACTGTTCCTTTTTTTTTTTATTTTTTTTAGAGTTGCTTCATTAGTTGCATTGAATATTTAGGCATAAATTAGAAATATTTCTAATCACTATAAGCTATTGCATTGATATGACTAAAGAGTAAAAAAAAAAAAATCAAGGTTAAAAAAGTCAGAGTGTGTTTCTACAGCAGTGTTTTGGACTTTGGGAATTTAAAAGGAGTTATGAAGACCATCAGAGAAGCTTAAAATGCACAGTATCTTGTTGAGATAGATGACTTGGGATCTGTGTTTCAAAGTGTGTGGATGGGCGATGCAAAGTGTTCAGTGGGTGTTGTTATTTTCCAAAACTTGACTTGCTTTGTGTAGCAGCAAGATAAAAATCAGCTCCTCTTTCTCTGGCCATGTGAGGAACACTGTTCAAATTGTTGTTCAAGCTTTTCAGGCATCTAGGCCTCCTCAGCATTTGGTGAGTCACGGTGCAGGTGCAGTTCACAGCTGGGAACAGGAACAAAGGACAAAGTGAATCTGTTTCTTTTTCTTTTCAAATCTCCTGGAACATAGAAACACAGATGTGGAGTTACTAGGGAGTGAAATTTGATTTTTGCTTTTGCCTTTCAAAACTGAGGTGTTGGAAAAAAAAAAATCTTGGTACCAAGTATTTGAAAGTCTTATGTGTCTGACAAAAACCACAGAGTATATTATGGGGAACATTTTGCTTTGAGTAGAAAAGTGCAAGCTTGCTGAACTTGATACAAATGACCTGAAAGGTTTAAATACAGGGAAAAGAGAAAATAAAGAATGAATGAGAGTTGGAATTAATTGCTAACTACATTCACCTGCTTCAGTTAAAGGTAGGGTTTTTTTTCCTCCTAGATTTGGCAGGCAAACAGGTCAAACTGCAAAGACACATCCAAGCTTGTGTTTCACATGAAGCCATTCTCAGAAGTTGTAGCAGGTAGGGCACATGTAAAAGCACTTCCAACAGCATGGTCACTCTGCCAGAATTGCAACCCATGCCACAGCAATTGCCCAGTCCTTTTTGAATATTTTTTCCTTAAAAGAAGAGCACATAGGAGGCTTCTCTTCTGCTGGCCCTCCCTTGTTGCTGGTAATGCTTATTTGCCTTGCTGCAAGCTCAGCTATTCTATACCACTGGATTGGAGTTAAATACTTGCTCCAGTGAATTGGTGTTAACTGGCACAGGTACTTGGGATCAACTGCTCAGAATTTCCAGCAGTAAATTTCCATGCCAGAGGTAGCAGTTGGGATCCTTTTATATTTAGTGTGGTTTTTTGAGGTGTGCAGTTCTGACTCCTCACACCTGAGGACACCTGCCTGTCTTTAAACATCTGAGCAGCACTGTTGACTTCTACTAAATCAGAGTTCTTCCCTTTTTGAGGCATACATGTGTGTGTTCAGTGCCTGTGTGCACAGCTGGAATGTGCCATCATAAATCCCTGTTACAAGAGGTGTCATTTTCCAGAGCCCAGCTCTCCAACAACTGATAACTTTGGGATGTACAAGTATTAAAAAAAATTCTGCTGTGATTAAGAAAGCCAGGGAATTACATTATAAATAATCCTTTCCATGTATTCAGTGTGCTAATTAAATTGCCAACAAGGAACCCTCTTAGGGTAGCCAGGGAAAAACTTCCTGAGACATGTTCAGGCACCTGCAGGAGTCTGCCAGCCAAGTGCCTGCTGTGAAGGTGGAAAATTCATCTTTCCTGTGGTTACAGCTTTCATGCTGTCTTCTGTAGTAATATTAAGGCAGCTCAGCATTACTGCAGTTTGGTTTTAAGTTCTGGAGAACTTAGTGGAAAAAACAAAGCAACCAAAACCTCCCCAGAAAAACCAAACCACCCCCAAATAAACCAAGAAGCCTTTCATAAGAAAAAAGAGGGGAAAAGAAAGAGAAAACCACTGACTTTGAAGGGTCACCTGGGTACACTGAGGAGCTGAAGTGCTGTTAAAGGCAGCTTTAACTTCCTCCACTGCACTTCAAAGTTGAATTTTGGGGAATCTTATTTAATTTTGGGGAACTGGCAGACTCATTGTCCTGCTGGTAGCACACAGCACCTGAGTCACTTGACCAGCCACATTAAATCTGGACAAACACCTGGCAAGGCAGAGCTCCTGCTGAAAGCAGTTTGCAGTTCAAAAGAACAATATTCATTCAAGGATATAGCTACTACAAAGTGGTCTTCATCAAGTGGAGAATTCACGATGAATAAACACAAATGTAACTTTTTTGGAACTTGGAAAAACTAAGTTTGGTAGTAGTTGCTAGTTTTTTCCCTGCAAATCTTTCTTCCAGCTCTGAGAGTAGGAGGAAACATATTCTTCCCATGCCTTTATTGCTTGATAGCTTCTGCTGAGAAGACTATTTTTGCATAACATCTAAGCATTTGTCAGCAAATTTTTCCATAAAAGGCATCCTCTTTATAGTCAGTGCAAATTTACATATTCTTTTAAGTCTGTTTTGGCTGTATTTCTGCTACCATTCAAGGCAAAGTGAAGGGAGGGGGGCAAGGTTTGGGGCTGGTACATCCAAATAAAAGTACATTTTTTCTATTTACAGCTCTCCCCAGTGGTTAGTATTGATGACAGAGCTCCTCTGTTCCTCATCAGAAGTTTTTCACTTCTCAGGGATCCAAGCCATGTTTCTCACACCATTTTATGGCAGCATCAGAGCTCTGAGGATGCTGAAAAGCCCACACCCCCATGGGCCAGGGTCTTTGTTTTGCACCATGGTCTGTCAGTCCTGTCCTGCTGAGGCCCCTGTCAGGTGTGATTCCTGTGGCTTGCTGTGGGTTTCAGCTTTGGGATCAGCTGATTATCCCCTTCCATTGGGCAGCAAGGGCTCCTTGTTACATGACAGACCTTTCTGATGGACCAGCAGCCATCTGGACCCTCTTTTCCCCCTACATCAGGTCCTTCCTGACCTCTGGCTCATGATGAATTCTCTTTCATCCTGCTGGGGCTCCTCAGGAATAGCCCTGAACCTCTGTCCCACTCAGGTTCTCCTGCCTCTGGAGTGTTTCAGGGCTGGCCTGCCACCTCTGCAGCAGATCTGTAGAGCTAAGTCCCTGCAGGTCCCAGACCTGAGGGCACTAACTGACCTCATGACCCTGACCAGCATGACCCCCCTGGTGGTGCTCCACACACACCATTTCAGCAATATTTCAATATTTCAGCACAGGAAAGATTCTCTGTAGTTCAATCGCAGCTGTGTCTAGGTATGGACTCCCTCAATCCTGATTTCCACCCACGGGATGATGTCCTGCTCTTGTCTCTTCCCTGTGAACTCATGTGCTGGCCACTTGATCCTAATCCTGGTGGCTTGCTGTCAGACCTGCCTCATTGTGCTGCTGCATCATAATCCAGACTCGGGGGTGGACCTGGCTGCACTTTCTACTTCTGTTTTGCTTGAAAGGTCCTGGACTGGAGAGGTGCTGCCCTGCTGGCTCTGTTGTCTCCCTTGACTGTGAGCTCCTTCTCCCTGGCCTTGATAAGCAATATCAGATCCAAGTTTAAGCACCTTGTGGCTTAAAAACAATTTTTAGTGGCCAGGTATTGTTGCAAAGTGGGCCCAGCCAGGAAATAATGTGCTCTGACTCCATGATTTGAGAAGGCTGAGCAAATGCTTTATTAGGCTATATTCTATATATAATATGTATATAATTATATTGTATACAAAATACATATGTGGATATTATATATATATGTAAAATACATAGGTGGATATTCCATATATATATATATATGTAAAATACATAGGTGGATATTCCATATATATATATATATATGTAAAATACATAGGTGGATATTCCATATATATATATATATATGTAAAATACATAGGTGGATATTCCATATATATATATATATGTAAAATACATAGGTGGATATTCCATATATATATATATATGTAAAATACATAGGTGGATATTCCATATATATATATGTAAAATACATAGGTGGATATTCCATATATATATATATGTAAAATACATAGGTGGATATTCCATATATATATATATATGTAAAATACATAGGTGGATATTCCATATATATATATATGTAAAATACATAGGTGGATATTCCATATATATATATATATGTAAAATACATAGGTGGATATTCCATATATATATATATATGTAAAATACATAGGTGGATATTCCATATATATATATATATGTAAAATACATAGGTGGATATTCCATATATATATATATATGTAAAATACATAGGTGGATATTCCATATATATATATATATATATGTAAAATACATAGGTGGATATTCCATATATATATATATATATATATGTAAAATACATAGGTGGATATTCCATGTATATATCTATAATATGTATTATATGCTTTATTAAGCTATATTATATTACACTAATACTATACTAAAGAGATACTAGAGAAAAACCTGTGACTGTCTCCAGACAGTCACGACACAGCTTTGACCCAATTGGTCAACCAGTCCAAGCAACCATCACTGGTGTCCAATTAACTAATCACTCTTGGTAAATAATCTCCATAACACACTCCACATGTGCCAAACAACAGCAGCAGCAAGTAGAGATAAGAATTGGTTTCTCTCCTTCTCTGAGCTTCTCACTGCCTTCCCCAGGAAAAATCCTGGGAGAGAGAATTGTGTCTCTCTCTATTCAGAGGATGTGAATACCACAGCCAGGTCCTGTGTTTGTGGGGCAGGAGGAAAGCTGAGCACAGGCCTCAGCTGTGTTCAGGTCTAGCTCTACTGGCACGCTGACTTTGGGAGATAACACATCCTGGAATGGTTGTGCTCCTCCTCTTGCTGTGAGGATTCAGTTGGGATGAGTTAGTTCTGTCCTTTTCCCTCCTCTCAGCACAGATTTCTTTATCCCCAAATCCATGCACTTGGTTCACACCTGTCTCCTGATTCTTCACTTATTATTTTCACCTTCCATACTTTTTTTTCCTCATGCTTTTTGGAGAAAAAAAGAAGCACTGACACAGATGTTTCTTCCTGATGTAGGTAACAGTCACAACAATTGGCTATGGAGACAAAGTTCCCCAGACGTGGATTGGGAAGACCATAGCTTCCTGCTTCTCAGTGTTTGCCATCTCCTTCTTTGCCCTGCCAGCTGTAAGTGGAACTTGAATCTCTGCATTCAAGGTGTGTGCACCTCTGTCAATGCCTCTGGCTCCTGTAACCTGTGGATCACAGCAATAAATGTGTGCTGTTTATTCAAGTTACACAATTCTGCTGTTGATCTGCTCAATTTCAGATGTGTTTGTTGGAGTAAATAGAGCTCTGACAGTGTAGACATTTGAAAATTCATTTTATCAAGTCTCTTATTAAATGTCTGTTTATTCCAGGTGAAAAGTACTTTATTTAGGTATGTGAAGCTATATTCATGTCTGAATAGTAATTTTGTTATTTTGGTAGGGTATTCTGGGGTCTGGTTTTGCCCTGAAAGTACAGCAGAAGCAACGTCAGAAGCATTTCAATAGACAGATCCCAGCTGCAGCTTCCCTAATTCAGGTAAGGCCACAACAGTAAAATACTACAAATACCTCAGAGTTTATTGGAGAGGGAGTATGGCCTGGAAGTTCAAATACTGAGAATCACCATTCCTAAATTTATTATAGATCTATAGCTTGTGTTTAGCCACTTTGTCATTTTGTTCCTCATCAGTAAGTAGAGAAAATGAGATAAATGCCTCTCTGTTTCTGGAAGCTGCACTCTACCTGATATTTACAGGCATAATGACACTAACTGGATGCAGTGAGTACATGTAGTGAAATACTAAAAACTTAATAAAAATCTTCATTATAATATTTAATTCATAACTTCCTTTTCATGTTCTTTGAGGTGATGAATGTACAAACACATTAAAAAAAACACACCTGTTTTTAGAAAAATCTCCCAGCATAACATTCCATATGATAATATAAATAATTACATAGCACAGTGCATGAACATTTATTGTGGCACAGTGGCAGAAAAAAGAAAACACAGTGGGGGATTCACTTTTAGGGGGGTTGGGTTTGATTTACTTGGGGTTCTTTTTGCTGTGGGTGGAGTTTGATCCCAGCTCATGGGGGGAGCACACTGAATATCTCTGTGTGATACATGTGCAGGTCCTGGTGCACATTGCATCCACCATGGTTGTACTTTATCAGGAGTGGTGTTTACCTGGACTGAGGGCTTTGTTGTCACTTGGATTTTTTTACCAAATTTTCCGTGCAGGATCCCAGTGACTGCTCCTTCCCTGAGGTTCTTTGGGTTTCTTTTCAGACCCTGTGGCGCTGCTATGCAGCAGAGAAATCCTGCACCTCCACAGCCACCTGGAAGATCTATGTGACAGCTGCCGTGCAAAATCCCAAAAAGTCTCCAGCGCCATCTAGTCCCGGCCTGAGAAAACAGGTGAGAGCCCTGGCAGGGCTGGCTCTCTGCTTGCTTTTCATTTTTGGCAAGTTAATTATAATTTAAAACCTTGTGAAGGGCCTGAGCCATTTGGATGCCTGAAATACGTTTATTTTTCCCCTGCCACAGCCCAGTTAGTTTTGTTTTCCTTCAAATGTGCTTGAGGAAAGAGCATCTTCTAACTGAATTTGTCTTGTTGGTCAGACAGGTGCCTACTCTCCATTGTTTTATCCCTTTGGAGTCTCCTACTTTCTCAAAGCACAAGACAATGGTGCAACTTTCCTATTGTGCATTCATTTTTCAAGGTACTTCATACCAGAAGAAGGAGCAAGCCAGTTTAAAAATTTATCTTCAGGCTTAACATGGGGCTGACAGCAGTTACTATTCCCTGAACAACTTCATGCTGCTTTTATTTCTTTAGAAAACAGGGCAAATTCCTGGGCTGTGAGTGCAGGAAAGTGGAACAGTGTGTGTCTGCAAAGGTGGAATTGCCCACACCCAGTTCTGTGGGGTCATTGCCAAGCTTGCCAGAAGGGCAGAGTCTGCAGCAGGTCCAGCACAGGGCCCCAGCCTCTCCCAAAGGATGCTCAAGGCCTGCCTTGGGGCAGTGGCATCCCACTGGAGCCTGTTTCCCAGGGAAGAAGGGCTGTACAATTCCCTTGGCACATGGAGGAAGCTGAAGCAGCCTGCTCTGTGTGTGTCTGTGTTTTGGGTAGAGTGACCTTGCTTTGTCATAGCTGCAGGCAGGAAAAACAGGAGGAAAGGGGTAAAGCAGAAGTAAGACTCTTCTGTATGTTGCTGAACAGATGCACTCCATGGCTGGAAAGATAGGAAAAATGCATTTTCCCTCTGTTTTCTCTAGTGTTTTCTCTAATATAATATTTGTCTGAACCTCCCTGTGAGCCCTCATTTAAGAACCTGGTAATGGTTCTTTCACCTCTTACCAAAGGATCCTCTCCTCTTGTTCTTTCTTGGTCTGTGACTTCCTGTTTTAAGGTCTCAAATTCACACTGATCATTTTGTGTATGTTGTAGCATTTTGTTTTCCTGCTATAAGAGCCTGTAATCTTTGCTTTTAGAAGTATTTTGATGCATGTCACTGGATCCACTGTCCACAACAAATAATTATTTCTACCGTTTTTCTCCTATTTAATTTCGAATGTGCATTTGTTTAACTGCTGCAGAGCTGAGCAGAAGAAGGAATTCCAAAAGTCTGAATGTAGACCATAACAAAGTAAGAATTGGCTTAACTTTAGGTAAAGTAGCCTTGTCCCATATGTGAATATCTGGACTCTGCAGCTCTTTCTGTTGATCCAAACCCTCATTTTTCATTTCAAAGGACCAATTATAGTGTGTTTATTAGGCTGTCTTTAGGCTTCTAAAATCAAGAGAACTGTTTGGAGGCAGGAGGAAGGATTTCTCCTCTCCTGATGTGCCTAATTTAGCCTTTTTGGTAAAAGTGAAGTTTTCTTTAGTTGAATATGCTGCACAGGGCCTAGTTCATAGTTCAAAGTCTATGGTTATGTTGAATTTAAGCTTTAGAAAGATATTCCTGACAAGGTGATATGTGCTGAAGTCATTAGAATTTTCTATGCCTTGAGTTTTGGACCCAATTTGTGAAATTTTACTAACAGCTTGATTTTTCAGAATGTTCTACTTGCCTTCTGAGTATCAAATTCTTACCATGTTTTAGTTCAGAGTCAGACACTTTAAACCATAAACAAAGGTTTCAGCCCTTTCACTGAATTTCAGTTTCATCCTCTATATAAAAAACATTCGACCTCAAGTGAATTCACTGTACAGTGAAGCTCACATGTGCACTTGTCTGTGTTTGACAGCATCTTCTGAGACCATTCCATTCCTACTCTCACAGGCCAGAAGATCCAGAAGAAAAGGGAAGCTGGGCTGTGGGAATGGCTCTGCACCTGTAATAAGCCCAGGAGAAAATTCCCTGTCTGTTCCCCAGATCACTTATGATCACATTGATGAGCAAGAGGACAAAAAGGACGTGTCGTTCTACATTGGTGAACCTAAAGGTAACTTATGCTCAGTTTATCATTTTTCAAGGGACAAACTGAAAAGGAGTTGATGTATGAAGGGAAGAGTTCTATGAGAAAACAATTCTTGGCTAATCAGTAAATCAAAATGCCTTCAACCAAGGATGGTTGCATAACAAAAATAGGGGGACAGTAATGAAAGGAAGTCTTTAATTCATATGGTGTGAATATCAAAAGAGCTTTCATTGTTCATCATCAATTAAGATTCATTGATCATTCTTCTTTTTTTGAATTATTTCAGAGGTGGATGGAAATCTTCCTCAGGTCTATCCCACCTTTTAACTTTACCTCTTTTTACCTCCTTCTGAAAGAAGGAAAGATAAACTAAAAAAATTTTCTACTTTTTTTACAGCCCCCTCTTAAACATTGTGCTAACAAATTGTGATAAGAAAAAATAACTATTTTTATGCCCACATCAACTAAGATGTTTTGATAAGTAGTTTTTTTTTTTTCTATTGCTTCATTTAAAATATTGTGTGTTTATTTAAGCAATGGTTACATTTCAATGTGGAAACTGTCTGAATTTCACTGCTGAGTTAACATAGTTGCTTTGTCTGTTAAATCCTTTCTTTAAAATTAAGCTTGTAATGGAGATATGAATGTTATAATGTGGAATATAAAATGGTATTGTTTACTACAAAAGAAGGTTTTCTGGAAAGCTGATTTTTCCCCTTTTGCATTGATTTTCTTTGTCTGATGGAGTTGGGGTTCTGTTCTGGATCTGCTGCATCTTGAACTCCTAATCTGAGTTCTGTTCCATACCCAGAGGCATTTCCAGTGCTTTTAGGGAGAGGGCATGAAGTATATGATATTTACAACCAAAGTTTCTGCTTTAACTCCACATCTCATAACAGAATACTGTGTTCATTCTCAGCATGTTTATTGGGCTGGAGCAGCTTCCCTTGCTGACCACGTGGCAGCAGATTTTGCTGAGTGTATTTTTGGTGTGATGGATGGAAGCAGCAAAGTGTTGAGCTGCTGGTAACAGTCCTGGAGGCCACTGAGATGCTGGGGACTCTGCTGGCTGTACTCAGCTCTGCCAGTGTTGGTTCACTAAAGCTGTGTTCCCTCAATGGTCACAGTTCACCTGAGCAAAGCTCTGTGTCATAGGAAAGAGAGTGGTGTTTCTGCCTGTCAGGAAAATGAAAGAATTTCCCCCATTTCTTCTAAAAGTGTTTTCTTCCAGTACTTTCATTATAGCTGGTTGAATTTATTCTTATTCTGAGAGACAGCCATGCATATTATTCCCTTTGCAATTAAATTTTGTCTCTTTTTTGTTTTCTTTCACCTTTTGCCTTAGCCAGTATCGGGGTTAAATCACACTCAATTTGCTTTTCCTGATTCATTCCTTCTGTTGCAAAGCTTCCAGGAATGTAGCTGGCAAGCTCAATTTCTCAATTGACTGAACATTCTTGACACCTCTCAAAAGTTTAAGCCTGATTTCTCTCAGTGAAGTTCTCCTTGCCAGAATTAATAGGCTTCTATTCCTGGGGAGTGGAAGTGCTAGGCTTCCAGCCTGTAAAAATGGGGCTTTTTTTTCCTGTCAAAAAAAGCTGAAAGTAGAAAAGGCAGAGAGGACCATCATTCAAAAAAGGTAATTGGAAGGGGCCATGCCAGCTTCTATTTGAGTGTTGCTGTAGTGGAATATTTTATTCATTGCTGGTGGGGGCTGGGTGTTTTGCAGATGATGGCAAACTGCAAGGTTGAATCAGATCACTTTTCTAGGCCTGACCTAGAGGACCAGCCCTCTTTGCTGCCCCTGGACCAGCCCTCTTTGCTGCTCTGCTCAGGTGTGAGAGAGGGACTGTAGGAAAGCCTAAAATAATTGCCTATCAGCAGCAGGCAACACAGTAACAGTCCCACTGACAAAATTCCTTGTTTTGGGCAGAAATAGATAGAAATGTAGTTCAAGTATCCTTGAAAAAGGAGATGTTTGCCTTAATTTAGCAGTGGCGTTATGTGAACACACCTTTTCTCCTGGAAATAGGATTTTCCTAATTGTTCATGCATCCACATCCACCCATCTTACTCTTGGCTTGCTCAAACCTTGCTTAGGAGGCAGATCTTCCCAAGATGGGCACAAATGCTTTCCTTTATTTCTATGAAGTAGGTTGGAGAAAAAGGAAACCTTACAAAACAGAGATGATCAATATTAAGGCTTCTGAGAGGTTTCTGTGTATGTGGAATAAAAAACCCTATGTATTGGATAGTGCATAATAGAGAAATGAGACCTTTATTCACCAAAAATGGTAGAGTTTTGAAACAAAAATTTTTCTTTCTTTAAAAGAAAAATTACTCCAGACCTCTACACTGTGCATGGGGTTCTGGGTGTGACTGATGAAAAATGATCTGTAGCACTCAGAATTTGTCTATCCTTACAGAAAGGGAAAGGCCAAAATTCTTCCATAATAATAGTTTCCTTGTTGGAAGTCAAATCTCTCAAAATGAAGCTATTTAGAAAGAAATTAATAAGTAAAAGCTAAAACCAACATGGCGGTTTAGGAAGTTCTAGAAAGTCAGTGTGATGCTGAGTCATAGGAAAGCATTGCATAGAATGGGTTGGGTTGGAAGGGACCTTAAGGATCAAAGAATCCTGGAATTATTTGGTTTGGAAGGAATCTTGAAGATCCTCCAGTCTCATGGCCACGGACACCTTCCACTATCCCAGGTTGCTCCAAGCCCTGTCCAACCTGGCCTTGGGCACTTCCAGGGATGGGGCAGCCACAGCTTCTCTGTGCAACCTGTGCCAGGCCCTCACCACCCTCACAGGGAACAATTTCTTCCTGATATCTAATTTAGTTATGTCCTCTTTTAGTTTCAGACCATTCCTATTGTCCTGTCACTGTTTGCTCGTGTAAAAAGTCCCTCTGCAGTGTTTCCACAAAGTCCCTTTAGGTGCTGAAGGGCTTCTCTTCTCCAGGCTGAGCAATTCCATCTCTCTCAGCCTGTCTGTACAGCAAAGGTGCTCCAGCCCTTGGAGCATCTTTGTGGCCCTCCAGTGCAGTATTTTTATTTTGTTTCATGGGTGTCTGTTGCTTCAACTAAGGAACTATTTCATGCCAGGGTGTATGAGTTAATATTTTGATATAGTGATTTAAAACCCTCGGTCATTTTATCCTTACCTGAGATTATATCCATAAGTGTTCTCTGTAGTCCTGAAATTAATCCTTACCTGTACTTTTGGCTGTCCTTGTACCTACTCCTCTGTAGCAGGGTCTGTTATCAGGATAAGACATGTGCAAGCCCTCTGACATCTTTAATATTCCTGTAAGGTTTAAAGAAGGCACTCAAGTATGAAGATTGTAGTTAATTAGAAGGGCAAGAGTGAGTGGCAGGTCACAGAGACTGATCCATACAGAAGGGAAACAGCATTTTGGTGTGACTGGAATTTTCTAGATGCATTTTTTGAGTTTTTTCTTTAAACATCAGCTATTCACCACAATGCACCCTACACAAAATGAACCAAATGGCTGTTTCATGATGCTTTTTATTAGGGAGGAAAAAAAAATAATAGAAATTTGAAAGTTTTTAGACCTTGAAGGTCAGCCTCCTGGGATGGCTCCAGCAGATGGAATGTATTATTCTCTGTCAGCTGTTGTAGGTTGTATACACAACTCATTATTGTTAGATTTGTCAAAGTCACAAGACTCTCACAGTGATAAATCTCTGCTGGGCTAAAAATAAAATTCCCTGTTTATCATAGTGCTTTTCTGTTTGATTTTTGGAGTTTCTTGTGTGCTGATGTATGCACAGTTTAAAGCAAAACTGCACAAAGGCAAATTTTTACCAAAAGAGGGGAGGATACTTGAGTTTTCTGACTCCCTTACCTTTGTTATCCCTCTCATTTAAAATGTGCAGTAGTGTTGCTGTTGATTTATTCTGTCTGTAATGCCAGTTTGGATGCTGACATTCCAGCATTCACCTGTCTGGAAGTGAGCTGGTTTTTCCCAGAGACTGGTTGCATTTCCCAGTGGGAAAAGGGGCTGGTGTAGATGGATTACAGTCTGCAGTACATATAAAGAAGCAAACATTTTAAGTGAAGTGGATTCAGAGAGTCCAGTGCTGACAAGCTGAGAGAAAGGTGAGAAAAAACACGTGGCCAAAATTAACAGAATAAAGCAAACACCAAAGCTTTTGAGAGTCTGCATAACTGCCAGTAAGTCTGAAAATCATAAATACAAAGGCATGCACTGAATCAGCATGAGAAAGTATCCAGATACCAGGCTTCTGACAAATGTCATGCTCTTAAGAAGGTTGGTTTAGCAGATGGTGGTGGCTTTGCAGTGAGAATTTGTGGTCAGTGCAGGGCTGCTCAACATCTCCATTTGTCTGTCAGTTGAGGACTTGCATGGATGGTACTTGCTCACGTGTGAGAACTGTGGAAACACCTCTCTACCAGCAAGTTTTCAGTCTTTACTGGTTCAGCCCTGGCTGCCCTGAGTGAGAGCTTCCAGTGAATTCTGTGGTTTATCTCTCATGGCCAAAGTTGATGACAGGACTGGGGGTGGGGATGGGCGAGGGGAGATGCAGGAAGAGAACAACTAACTCTGCCAAACCCACTCTTACTTCTGATTGAATCTGGCAGCTTTTGAGGTTTAAAATTTTATTTTTGTTCTGAATTTATTCAACTCCCTGTCGTGCCTGGTTTAAGACCAGGGTTTGGATCACTGGTCACATCAGACTTGAGCAGGGACTTTGTGCCAGATGTTGCCAGAGACCATGGCAGTGCTGTGTGAGGGAAGGTGTTTGCAGCTGCCTCAGGCTTTTTCTAGACACTGTCAGCACAGCAGTGGGGGAAAAATAATTATGAGCTGAAAAATGAAAATATCTATGCATACCCCAGCATAGGTGTTTTGTGGCCAAAATGAGTATTTCAGGTAACTGTTAAAACATCAAAAAATGCAGAAAATTGGAGAAGCAAATAAATTGTCTTTGAGTCAACATATTGACTATTAATGACACAGAATCAGCTTCTTAAA